GATGATGGACGACGAGGCCGAGGAGGAGGAAGAAGAGGAGGCCGTCCGGGGGCTCGGCGACTTCGGTTTCGGGGTGCCTGGCGGAGGAACGGGAACTTCGGCGGCCGGCGGCGCCAAGAAGGGCGACGACGAGGAGGATGACATCGACGACGAGATTCGGGAAGAGGTGCGTCGCGAGCACGTGTAGTAACGGGGGGCAGTGGCAGCGGGAGTGTCAGTACTGTGCCCGTGGTGGCGTTGTGCAACGGTTACGGTGGTGTCTAGCTGTACGTTGCACGCACCCAGGTCGCGCGTTCAGGCCCGTGCCCAATCCATTCCCCCGCACCCAGCAATGTGTGTGTGTGTGTTTTCCTTTTGGTCGTGGCAACCACAAGCAGCAAAGAGAAGCTCTCCTAACCAAGCTTTTTTTCCCTCTCTCCTTCCCTCTCTCCTTCTCTATCCTCCCCCACAGGACCTCGAAGGTATTGTCGACACCTTCTCCGACGACGAGGGGGACAAGGCCGCCCAGGACAGCTACATCAACAACGAGAACGCCGCCGGCGACCGGCGGGAGCTGAAGGAGATGGTGAGGCGTGTGCGGGAGGGCTTCGGGGACGAGCGTGGCGGCGGGCGCGGGCGGGGCGGCAACGCCCGCGGGAACCTCCGTCTCGACGAGCTGACGAGAGCCGACAAGAGCACGCGAGGGGAAGCGGCGCGACTCGGTCTGCTCAACAGGTGGGTGGCGTCCTGCTGCTGTTGTTGTTGCATCATCCGGTGCACGCCTCCGTTTCGTTCGTGTCCACGCAGCAGCACTTGTAGTAGTCGGTGTGCAGTTGTAGGCGTCAAGTTTGCTTTGATGGTTCGAACTGGTCTCCCGCTCGGGCCTGGGCTTGTCGCCTCCCGTATCTCCGAACGTTTCTGTACTCGGGGGGTTGTGGGGCATGTACCATGGTACGCCGTTGTTCGGTAGAAGGGGTGCATCCAGAGACGCTCCGTACCAGATTTCTAGACACCACGCCGGCGACTTGTTGTTTTTTGCTACCTAGTATTGTGATTCCTTTGCCACCACAACAAAGTTGACACGAACGCATGTATGCAAACGGAACGACTATTTACCCACCTTCCTGTTGCAGCGACGAGGAATGGAGCGACGACGAGAAGGCCGAGGACGCCAAGGGAGGGGCGGCGAAGGACGACCTAGAAGAGCTGGACGAGCTGCAACTGAGCGAGCTGCTTGTCAGGGAGCAACGCGCAAGGCACATGGGGCTCAGCCAGGTCCGTACGACTTTTTTAGCACAACCTGTACCACGTGTGGGGGGGTGGAAGCTTGGTCGAGCAGTAGGTGGGTGGCGTCTGGTGCGGTTGGGGTTGTTGTTCTGCCTGCTTCGATCCGAACTGCGCATCATGTACGTTTTCTGAAAAATCGATACTTGCGTGTGAGTGTGAGTGTGAGTGGAACTGGAGCACGGAACGATCAGGCCGACTCGTTAGGCGCAAGTGATGCTACGCGTTTTAACCTGCTGCGCCCGGTATACCCACGCCCGCCTGTGCTGCTGGCTGCTCGCGAGTAGACAGACAACCCATCATATCGTGTGCGAGTCCGCTACATCAGCATATTGGCTCTCATCTGTTGCATCTCAGGCACACGCTTGCGTCGTAGCCTATCACCATCTGCGTACATACCGCCTCCGTTTTCGCTGCAATCAGTGCGACGCCCCCCCCCCCC